GGGGGGCTTTTTCAAACTTAGCATGGTGGGGTCAACCCCAGAGAGCTGAACCTAGGAGGTCTAGGGCAGGCTGGGCTTCAGGGTTTCTGGCAGCGCACCCCCAGATGGAAACCACTGGCTGAAGCAAACAAGAGTTCAACCTGAGGGTTCGAAGATGACCTTGAGTCTGAACAACGCAGATGAGTGGCCATGGCCATGCCATACCCACCTCCCTTGCTCCGCCCTTCCGGAAGCCCCTGGGACCGGTGCAGGAGCAAAACGGGCCTTTGATCCACCAGCGAGAACTCAGGAAAGCCAGGCACTTCCCCGGGGCCCAGGGCCCGTGCTGTGCACCCCTCCTCCTCACACAGGCTAACCCAGTTGGCTGTGCGGTCCTCCCGTGCACTTGGCGTGGGGCAGAGGCCGGCGCTCCCCCCACTAAGCACAAGTTCTGAGCTCGCTGATCCACACTGTGGGCCATGCACCTGGGATTGGGCCGCATGTGGGCTGCCCCATGGATGCACACAGCTGCCCAAGACGGATGGTAAGAAGTGTGCAATTCAGACTGTGAGCCATCACAAGGCAATCTTGCACGTTTAAGTATTGTACATACACAGCCTCAATTTTCTTAGTGTTATGACAAAATAAGGAGTGAAGGTCTGGCACATAGAGAGATAAAACAGCAATGGTGAGGAAGAGACTAAAAACTGGGCTAAAAACTGCCTACCCCTTGCAGGGCCTGTGCTGGGTACAAGCAGTGTGTCTGGAACTGAAAGAGACTGAAAACTGATTCATTAGGAATCAATGCCAAATAAATGATCCCTAACGAATCCTCTCTGTCCCCAAGAAGGGCAGGGCCGCTGCAGGAGAATGCTGATGAGCAAGGGAAGGCTGAATCACATGCCTCTCTTATCTAGTTGACAAGAGAACTTATGTGCACATTTTTTTTTAAACAGCCACCCAATGATTTGAGTTTATAAGTTCTGGGTGCATCAAAGGGAGATTCTGCATAACTGAAATGCATGTAAGTGGGATGATTGTGCAGCGCCCGCAGGACTGTCAGACGGGAAAAGGGGCAGGGCTGGACCAGGTGGGAACCAGCACCATGGGCAGTGACGTGTGGGCAGGAGTGTGGGGGTGCTTACCCGCCCCCCCGGGGCTGTCCTGTGTGGGCCGGCCTCTGGCCAGCTGCCATGTACCTTTGGCATGAAATGTCCAGCCCCTCCGCCAGTACTCCTGCAGCTGGACCCGTGCCTGCTGCCCCAGGCTGCACACCTCACTGAAGAACTGCTGCTCGATGTGCACGTAGGCGGCCGGGATGGCGCCTGCCACCCCCTTGGCCCCGAAGAAGCCATTCACCTCCGGTGAGGCCAGCAGGATCTGGTACTCGGCCCGCGTGCCCAAGACCAGGTCCATGTAGGCCTGGGTCAGGTTGAAGTAGCCGGTAGTGAGGTAGACCTTAGCACCTCGCTCAGCCTCGGTCAGCAGGGTCTCGGTGACAATCTCGTCGATCTGAATCTCAAAAGGCTTCATCTGGATCAACGGGTAAATCCAGGTGTCAGGGGCCGGCCTCCGGTCACCAGCAGCTGCTGCATCTTCATGGGTCAAAACGGAGTCACTGTGGAAGGTCTGGGCGTGCAGCATCTGCTGGCGGGTCCTGGCTGAGTTGATCACGTCCATCACCCTCTTGTTGGCAGCCTTGCAATAAGCAGCCCGGTCACCTAGAGGGAGATACGGCAAAGGACAGAGAAATGGAGGCTCTGGACATACGGGACAGGGCTCGTGGCACGTGACAGGCAAGCACAGACGCCACAACACATCCTTCACTGAGCGCGTTCTGACCGAGCACAAGGCGCTAGGCCTGCAGGAGGCTCCTCTGTGGACAGAAATGCCCGAGAAAGGGTCACAAGGAGCCTGCGCTCAAAGTGAAGTGAAGAGGCCTCTGCCAAGTCCACTTATGGAAAGTTCAAAAACAAGCAAGCCTAGATATGGGCACCAGAAATCAGGACAGTCATGCCTGGCTGGGGACCTGAGGGGGCTTCTGGGAGCTGACCCATTGGGAACACGTACACAAGCTGCACACCAGTGACTGGTGTGTGGTGTGCGTGCCCCATGTTAGGAAGAACATGTGTCCGACAGAGACACAGGTGGGTAAGCGTGACCGGACAGCAGGGAAGCAAGCCTCATGGGGTCAGAGACCAAGCAGGCTGGGAAAGGGCGAGTGGTGGTGACAGCCCAGATGGGCCTCGAGGGGCAGAGGTGAACAGGCAGGCTCCAGGCCTTCGTTTTCACACGGACACTAGTCACATGCGGCTGCAGAGACAACTGACGAGGAGAGCAGTGAGTCTAAATGCTATCACTAGACGGTAAGAGAATTGGTGAACTAAGCAGCCAACTCAAGAAGTCAGGGGAAAGAACAGGAAAAGATAAAAAACACAGTACAAGGAAAGAATTTACAAAGAGCAAAAATTAACAGAATGAAAACTATATAAAAACAGGGAATTTCAACACTCAAAAGTCGATTCTCTGAGACTGATGCAGAGCAAGCCTCAGGCAGGGCTGAAGGAGGGTAAGAGGGGAGGCCAGCTGCCCTGGTCCTCACCAGCTCACGCGCTCTGAGCTGGGAACGCGGACACTCACCCGAGTGCCTTCCAGGCCTGCACGGCAGCACAGAGGGGAGGAATGTTCCGAGCCAGAATCCCCCCTTACTGACAGCAGCCACCAGGTGAGGGAGGCAGGCAGCCCCCAGGCTGTCTCAGGCTGAGTGTCCCTGTGGCTCTGCTCACCCCAGCTGTCCTGGTCCCCGGAGCACATCTGGGCCCAGCCAACCCCCGGCCCCAGGGTGTGCTGACTCTCCTTCTTCTCTGAACTGGGGTGGGGGAGGGGGGCCCTGTTCTTCGCATGTTCATGCCGGGCCTGGTAAGTTAGATCAGGGGTCAGCCAATGCTTCCTGCCCTGGCCAGACAGAAAATACTTTAGGCTTTGTGAGCCAAAGGGCAAAGCTGAGGATAACATGTTGGCACTCATATAATGAGAGAAAACTGATTTCCACACACTTCTAATGATGAAATTGAAAACACGATAGTAATCACTACACTACGGTACAGCGCATAGGCACAGGGGCGGGCAGGGCAGCACACAGACCGCAGGCGGAGGTGGGGGGTTGCGTCCACGACCCCGGCCCTGGGACAGGGTTACCACCAGGCACGCAACTTAGACTCTTCCCTTCTCGCTCCTCTCCTTACATGGTCTGGGTTTAACCCGTTCCCCACACGCCTGGCACTGTTGCAAATGCAGCAGCAGACCTTAAAGGCCAGCAGGAAGCCCCGGCCACAGGAATCACAGGAATGCAAACACCCGGGACGCTTGCTGCCAGGGTCTGCCTGCTCCCAGTGAGCAGAGCTGAGGGCGCTCCCATTTCACGTTCCAGGCAGGAGGCCACAGACCTCAATGGAGCCGAGAGCCACAGAGCCTCAGTACCTAGAGTCAGGGTGGCTGCCCTGAGGGGGGCGGCCACTGGGCAGGCTGCTTCTTGTAAGTGCCGGGCAGGCCCCCAGCTCACTCCAGAGGGCACCCAGACCGAAGCCCACACTCCCACCTTCTCGGCAGCTCCCTCACCCGCAGAGTGTGGCCAATGGCCAATGAGTCACATCTGTCTGGCCCTGGAGACAAAAGCAGAACAAGGCTCTGCCACCCAAGTCTCCCAAGCCAGCGGCAAGGCCACCAGGGCGGCCTCCTCGCCCTCATCACCCCCAGCCTCGGGAGGCGGCAGAGCCCAGGACCCTACCTCTGTAAGGATGCACCATGCCCTCCACCACCTGCACCGTGTCATCCCCCTGCAACTGCAGGGACACGTCCCCCACCGCGTCCACCAGCTCCGTGAAGAAGTCGGCAATCTCGGGACAGTCCTGCAAGAACACGTAGCGGTCCTGCCGGTTGGTGAAGTAGGAGTCGCTCAGGTTTGCGCTACAGGGAGGAAAGTGGCAGGTGAGAACTCGGGTGAGAGGGGGCGACAGCAGGCCCTGGGGATCTCAGTCTTAGGGCCACCAGCAGGAAGAGGGCAGTGACCAACTCGTATCAGGACACACCAGTGGCAGCAGCCAATTAACAAACAGCTACTGCACCTGGCCACTGGTGTGTCCTGATACGGGTTGGTCACTGCCCTCCTCCTGCTGGTGGCCCTAAGACTGAGATCAGGCGGGGTGGCACTAAGGTGACACAGAAGAGTAACGTGAAGCCCTCTCCCAACCCCAAGAGGATGCAGCTGGCCCCCAGGGTCTGTCCTCTAGAACCAAAGGGCCTGGATTCCCACCCGGCTCCATCTAACAACGTTATTCATCCTCTAGTTTCTTGTGTATGAAGTGAGGAAAGACCACGCTGGGTCACAGTGAGCAGCAGAGGAGCGGAGCTGGTCCACACCAAGGACCTGGCAGAGCAGCGAGCACACACGGAAGGCTCGGTAAACCACAGCCAGCTTTCAATCGCCCTTCATGGCTTCTGGCTCCGGCGGCAGCCAGGGCCCCGTGGAAGACACCGAGAGGGTAAGACAAAGGTACAAGCAGGTCCTTGAAGGCTGGAGGGGACGGAGCTCCCGTTCCCCGTCCTCTCTGGCATCTACTCGGAGAACAGTACGACGAGGCACTGACAGAGGAAGCAAGCTCACCCGCTCAAGATGACGCTGTTGTCAAAGAGGTACACTTTGATGTGCTGGAGGCCAATGGTCTCATTGAAGCGCTCAGGGATGAGGAGCCGGAGGAGCCCGCGGAGGTTGGGCGTGTGGAAGAGGGAGACTCGGACCTGTTCTGGAAACCTCTGCAGGAGGGGGAGCAGCATCGTGCGCGAGTTCTTCCTTCCTGAACATGTGGGCAGCAGGAGAAAGGACGGCAGAGTCACACCAGGAAAAACACCCAGGCTGCCTGTGCAGAGCCACCACCGTGGGCCCTCAGGTGCCTGTGCTGCCTGTCCAAGCCAGACTGCCGGGTGCTGCTTCCAGCCAGAGGGGCTCCGGGACAGCTTCCATCTGGACACCCACCACATCTCGGGGCAGGACTGGAGGGGCCCGTGTAGCAGACAGCTGTCTTTCAGCCACCCAGCACCATCCACCCGCCTCCTGGTAACTGTGCCCAACCTCCTCCTGGGGGCACCACCCGGCTCACTCGGCACTTCTGCTCTGGGTGAAGATGACTCTGTCCACGCTGAGCCCTCACCCCAGCCCCCAGGAGGGAAGGCACACAGCCCTGGGCTGGGCGGGTCAGACACTCGGAAGCCCTGGCACAGAGCCCAAGGCAAGCCACTCAGGAGCTCTGATCCGACCCTCAGGGAAGCAGATGCTCTTCCGATGGACAAGGTGCAGCAAGAGGGGCTTGGGGCTGCCAAAGGCCTCCACAAAGAGCCTGGGAATTGAAGTGAGCCCAAAGGGCTGAACCCCAAATACACCTCCCCCCGAACCGGGGAGTCAGAACAACTCTCTTTTTCCCTAGGTTGTTTTTATTCGGATTTTCAGTCACTTGCTGCAGAAGAAAGCCTGACAGACAATCAGGCAGTCCTGGGCCAGCCCAGACTGTCTTCAGATAGCCTTGACCCTGCCTGAGCACAGGGGAGGCGAGGCTGTAATCCCTAAAACAGAGGCCCTGAAAGAGCAAGAATCAGGGGGCCACGGACTGCATCCGACTTACCTCTTGAGCCCCGCGTGAAGTCTAAGAGAATGGACACCTTGAGGTCAGAGGGAAACTTTGCTTGGAGTGACTTTTCCAGAGTGCTTTCCAGGCAATCCACCTATCAAGAGAAGACCCCCAAAAGAACAGAAGTGTAAGATCTGAAAAGATGATTATGCACTTAAAAAAATGAGCTAACTTGTCAACTAGTGCCGCAATGTCTTCTCTGAACACACAGGTGCACGCACACACACACCATCTGTGCTAGCCCAGAAGCCAACGCAGAGAAACCTCTTCATCTGAGGCCGCCGCAGGAACGGTGATCAGACGACCCCAGGTCAGCAGGCTGGGCCTGGAGCAGGAGAGGGCTCTGCGGGTAGAGGCACTCGGTCCCAGCAGTCCGGAGCCCGCCACTCCTGGACATGCTAAGACCCAGCTCCCACACGCGTTCCAACAGATCGTGCTCACAGGACACAACTAGCAGGGCCCTGCACACGGGAAGTACTCGGTAAATACTTGCTGAGTGAGTGAATCCCAGACACAACCTGCTCACTGGCCTCTCCCCACGGGTTGGACATGGCATTCTTCTCCCAGGAGAACAACAGGCTCCCCCAGGCTGGCAGCTGAGGCTGCCTCCTGAGAACAGGACGGCCCCCTTTCTCCGACAGGAAGTGGGGGCCCCTGATGCTGCCCCGCCTGTCCCCTCGCTCTCCACACAACCCCTGTTCTCTCCCAGGTCCTACCTGGGGGTTTCTGAACAAGGATGAACCAAGAAGCAACACCCACTACGGGCAACGGGCCCACGCCACTTCCACAGAGCACAGAGCCACCCGGGGACTGAGACAACACCACGATCTCACTCACAGCCACGTCAACTGAACCCAGACCCTGCCACCCTCCCACCCCGCTGCTCGCGTTGTGAGGGACGCGTGTGGCCCAACAGCACGTTCAGGTGGAGCCAGGCTGGCCACAGGCCCAGCGCCTGACACCAGCCCTCGGCAAAAGCAGGCAGCCTGCCCGACCTGGGCTCCGGCTCATCTGTCTCAGACAGATCAGAAAGCCCTTCTGGAAAGGACCAGGCAATAAGTATTCTAGGCTTGCAGCCAGATGGTGTCTGTCACAGCTGCTCAGTTCTGCCATGGAGCAAGAAAGCGGCCATGGATGGACAAGACAAAAGGCAGCGGGAGTGCTATGCCCCACAGAGTGTGATGTAGGGACCAGAGAGCTGACCGTCACATGCCTCTCATGTGACATCAATGTTACTTCTCTTGCAATTTCTTGCTAAACATTTGAAAATGTAAAAACCATTCTTAGCTCACAGGCCACACACAAATGGGCAGCGGACAGATCTGGCCCACGGGTCCTAGTTCACGGAACCCCGCCTGGAAGACAGTGCAGCCCAGGGCCCCTGCACGGGGTGAGAAGGACATGGGCCAGCGAGGCCAGAAGGCCCAGGATTAGACATCGCCACCCCCCCACTGGACCCCTGATGTGCCCCAGAATTGGGAGCAACAAGAACAAGAGCTGGCCACAGCCCCCCACCTCCACGGCGCCACAAGGCCCGAGGTTCAGGATGGCTTGCTGCTGCCACTAGGACCCCCACCAAACTTACGAGTTCCTGCTCCAAAGGACCCGTGCCCAGGTAGAGGGATGCCATCACGACCCGCCTCCTGGCTGCTTTTATCTGCCCCTGAGGAGAAGAAACATTCAAAATTCATACTCATCATTTTCACAGTTCATGGAAAAAATACAGCCCTTCGATGCTGGAAGCAAGTAACACTCCAAGCTGAACTATCCTCTATCTTCACCAATTAACATTTAAAGCAGGCCCTAAATGTGTGTGATTACCTACCAAATGAGGACCCACAACCCCAATCTAAAATACTCAGCTTGAAAATCCAGCACACACACCCCAAGAGCGAGCAGCCGTGAGAATGGAGGAGACCTGGGCCCGCTGACCTGAGGGGATGCCCACAGTGCACTGCGGGGACAGAAGCAGGTCACCATACAGAACACGAACCGTGCTCCCCCGTCTCCACCCCCCGCACATCCCGTACACACGGGTGTGTGTGTCCTAGGAGCAGAGCCAGAGGAGGGAGTGCAGGTGCAAACCTGCACCCCACCCCCGTCTGCACGCCTGGAGTTTTCTAATGAGAATGGAGTCCTTCTGAAATGCAGACGGACAGGTACAGACACACACAGAACACACCAACATTCAAAGATGCATCAGTACCAAGAGCCAGTGTCCTCGCCCTAGACCAGCTCCAGCCGTGGGAGGACAGCGGCCCCTCTCCAGAGCTGAGTGGCCAGGCCCCGGGCAGCAGCGCCGGAGGGCGGTGAGGGGGGGTGCTGCAGGCTCTGCGATGCGGCGCCCGCAGCCCTTGCTGTCGGCAGAGGGAGGGGGCATCTGGACCAGACGAGCACAGCAACACACCACGGAGAAAGGCTTACATGCGAGGGACAAACGAGAATTTCCAACGTTTGCTGTTTCCCTCATTTTGTTGTTTTCTTAAGACAGTTGCTGGTGCAGAAAGTGAGTGTGAAGACAGGAAAACAGGGAAGGAAACAACGAATTAAGTGTAAGGCAATAGAGTTCCAGCAGCAAAAGACTATGTGACTGCCAGCCGTGGTGCCAGGCCCTCGGGCACAACCTCAGCTGGCATGGAGGCCTGGGCACCAGGCAGAAACCACGCTGCACGCTCTTCGCAGGGAGCACGGGCCGCTCCGCCTGTCCCGAGAAGAAACAGCTCCCGCTCAGCTCGGGATGTACCGAGAACGTGCCCACGACTCAGCTCAGCAGGCAGGGGACAGAGGCCTCAGCTTCTCCCAGCCTCCCCAGCCCCACCACCCCGGGCAGGGGCTCCGCACAGCTGGGTCTCCAGGCCAAGGGATCCCGGTGTGGGGACTCGGCCCAGCATTCACCAGAGTGGACTGGGACATAAGAAGAACCTCCTTTGAAAACCTATTTCTTCAAGCCAAGCAGAGGACCAAGAAGGAGCAAAGAGCAGCCTCAGCAGCAGTTCTACACAAACAAGGAAACACGGCAAAGTCGAGGTTGCAGGGAAGCAGGGGAGAGTGTGCACACACATGCACACGCAGCATTCTGGAACGGGCCATCCAGAAATTAAGCAAAGTGTGGATCTATACAACAGGCAAAAGGAGAGAAGACGCGCAAGCACTCAGACGAACGAGTCTGTTGTGCAGGAAAAGGAACGTCGATGTGTCCCCTGTCATCTCCCAGCCTCCCTGACCTCATCAGGCCTTAATTCTAACATCACTGTTAACAGGAATTCAGAATTCATGTTAATAAAAATTAATTCGCATTGAATTACTTTATTCCAGTTAGCAGTTTAACCGCATGTAACTAGACCGGGCATGAACCCCTGAGTAATGCACTGAAGGCAGACTCCCCAGACACCAAGTTTAGCATCTCCACCAGGAGAGAGAAATTACAGAACAGAACTAGGATCTCGTGATCAAAAACCAGACGTGCAGGTTTTTCAGTTACCTGTAAACGCTCTTTATCGAACAGAAGTCTTCCGGCCACTTCCTACGTATCAAATCCCATCTGTTGGTCATCTGGGTCTTCACTTCCTGTCCATTACTAGATGGAGCTACTGTGTTTTGGAGATGTTGCCAGGGACAGGGGTCTGCCATGGCCTGACTAGAATAAGGTTTGTTTCTCCCCAAGCTCTCACTAACCTCGAGTTCAGGCTACATCCTCAACATTGAACAAAGGGAACCAATCTGAACACAAGGACCAATATCCGGGACCTGACCCTCACCGCCCCCAAGCTCTGAGCTGCTCCCCCTGAGACATCAGCCACCAAGGGAAGCTTCCGACCACAGCTCAACTTGGTCACTTGTGAAGCTGAAACTAACAGGCAGAACCCAAGGGAATAAACTGAGCATCCATCAGAAGCTTCTAGAATAGACTGTTTCAGCCCACGATTCACCCAACCTCATGCACCCAAACCTCTAACTCAAACATCTGACCCTCTCTCTCAGACACAACTGACCTTCATGAGCTCAAAAAACTCTGTCGGTGAAGAAAGCACGCTGACATGAGAACTGGAGACTCCAAACTCTGGAACCAGGTTTCGGATCCACTGGAATCGGTGCACGCCCTCCGGACACAGGCAGCAAGGAGGCGAGGTGACCTGGGGGACAGTTGGGGACAGCAAAGGAGCCAACAACAGCCATGGTGACCTGGTAAAGAGACACACAAAGCGTCATACTTCTCAAATACTTCCTTAGACGTCTCTCAGCTCCTGTGGGTGAAGAGGGATTTTTCTTTTGGCCAATCTCAGGTTTTCCGGAACATTTTAAGCGAGCCCCAGTCAAACTCTGCAGAAGACTTCTCCTACAGCCCCTACTATCTGAGCACCTTGAGAAGTGCCAAAGCCTGTGCATGGGTGGACCCCAAACTTTAAACTGATTCCAAACAACTCAAAATTCAGAGCAGCCGCAAGTCAACTCAGAAGAGCCACTGCCTGGTTAATTCTGCCCCCAAACCCACCGGGAGAAAGCTGCCAAGCTGCCCCGGGCTGCCTAGAGCAAGGGCAAGCCTGGTCGCAGCCTGGTGACTGCAACCCAGACCCCCCACGCCCCTACCCCCGCCCCGCAGCCTGACTGATAGGACAGACGGGCTTTCATTCAGCGAAGGACCCGAAAACCAAGTTTTCTCTTTAACACAGAGAGAAAAGCTGGAGCTGGAAGAGGCTGCGGAAAAGGTCATCTCAAGAAGTGCCAGTGGTGACAACTGCCCCTTCACCACTGGACACATCCTCGGGGGAAGGGTCACGCCCCGTCTCCGGCGGGCTCCAGTCTGCTGACTCTGGCAGAGGACGGAGGACCGGGTGCCTGCAGGGGGTGGGGGAGACGGGGGAGAAGCACCGCACACCCAGAACCCCACCCAGACCAGGCCCTCGTCCAGCAAAGAGCAGCAGGCCAATCCTCTTCGCCTGTGACCTTCACCACGGCCTCAAGAGGGACTCCAGAGAAGAGATGCTTCAACACCCCGAGGCCTGAAGGGCCGCAAATTCCAGGAAGATGATTTCACTCACTCATCTCATGACACAACACTGAACCTTCCCAGGGTTTGTAAGTGTCCCTGCACACACCAGATGGCCCACAGCTGTCCTTCCCAGAAAGCCCACCGGCCTGTCACAGCCGACTCACTGTCAAGAAAACTGTACTCAACAGGGGGAGGGTACCGGCTCTGAGGACCCCGGGAAGCCGGGCTCCGCCGCGGACCTCCGATCGCAGGGCAGGGAAGCAGCCACCCTCCCTGGCCACCGCTACCGGGTCAGGGCCCACACTCTCAGGCACTGTCTTGCTCCCAGGTAACCAGCAGCAGCTCAAAACAAAAGGCTGAGCCATGTAAACGAGGGGCCGTGGCCTCAACCTCCCCAAAGCGGGAGTGCTCCTGCCGCGCTCAAGGCCGCTTTCCAGAGCGGCAGGGAGAGATCCAGATCCAGTGGAAAATCACACGAACGGGAAAGCTGTGTAACAATCTGTCCACCTGAAGCCCCAGAGAGGGGCCTAAAGTCTAATACTCATTAATTAAACAAGGCCTGTTTGAGGTGGAAAACCCCGCAGCACCGTAAGATCAACCCAGCCGCCAGCCTCACAGCACTGACCACGGCTCAGAACCAGGGAGAGAGACGCAGGCCGCACCTTCCGGCCCCGCACTCAGCAGATGCGCCAGCGGACTCGGAGCAGCTCCCAAGAAGGTGAGGAAACACCGTCTGGCACAAGCGCCCCGGGGGAGGCCACCATCCAAGCCACCACGTGAGCCGACGGTGAACCAGCCCGGGCCCTGCCTCCCACAAACCTGGCAGCCTCGCCAGCTGGCGCACCTGAAATCCTCTCAGGACATGAGAGAAAACGCTAGAACTAGTTGAACAAGGGACAGAGTCGACACACAGGGCATGAGCTTCAAGTGATCAAAAAGGGAGCTGCTGACGCCTGAGCTCCTGGGGGGCTTCCAGACACCCCTCCCTCCAGCTGGGCCCTGGAGGAGGCAGGACTCGACGGGACGTGCAGGGGCCCCGGGAGGGAGAGGGCTGAGCAAATGGGAGAGGCGGGAGCTGCCCCAGATCACCACCACCAGAGAGGCCCAGAGGGCCTCAGGTGCAGGAGGTGCAAGTGCAGGAGGGGCCGGGGTCCTGGCCGCCGCGCCCAGAGGGACGGGCTCAGGCAGCTCTCCTGGGAAGCTTGCACCAGGGCCTCCGTCCAAGATCTGCTAAGGGTTTTTTGACGTTGCTTCCTGCTTAATCTGCGTACTGACAGGTTTATTTTTGTCAGAGAGGAGAAGGAACTGAAAGCCAATGAGGTTTCAGGGATTCGCTGTAGAGGAGCCCCAGCCCTCGAGGGTAACTTCACACTCCAAAGAGAAAGGTGCTTTGAAAAGGTGCAGTTTTACAAAGGCTCCACCCACGAGGACGGCACAGGCAGGGAGGCCACATCCAGATCCGCAACACTCAAAATCGAACCACGCAAAACCCCAGGCAGAGCCTGCTCAGAGACCCTGAGCATCTCAGCCAGACCCACGGGGTGAGAGCTCGCTTCCACGACGTAACTCCCGGGCATCTTCCCTGAAGAAGCTGCTCCCTGAGCCAGCCACAGCCCCTGCTGCCAGCAGCCCTGTCTCCAGGGCTGACCCCTCACAGGCCAGCCCCTCGCCCCAGGGAGCTTTTCCAAGAAACCCACATTCCAGGTCAAAACCCTCACCCGAGAGACGTGAGGAGGCAGGGAGCTGTGGTTACTCTACGAAGAAAGCAGAGCTGTCACGCTCCCCATTTAGAGAACTAAACCTCACACACACAATTTCCACATCCAGACCTGGGCTCCCTGAATCATCTCTTTCTAGATACCAACCAGCTCCCACTTCTAGTTACAGGGAGGAGGAAGTGGCCAGGGCTGAGGGGGTCAGATAATAGGGTTTGCTGCCCTCTCCAAAGGCCCACGCCTTTACTTCAGATTATCAGGGAAGCTTAGAGAACAGGGCTGGGGCCAGAGCAGGGGCGCACCTGGTGCTCAAACTGAGGCAGGCGCAACCACTTCAGACAGCCCTCAGCACAGGCGGCAACAAAAAACAGCGCAAAACAGTCCTCAGCCCACTGTTCTCAAAGTGAAGCGGGAAGGCCTCCTCTGCAAAGGGCAGGCTCCAGCCACCGCTCACACGACACCTGACTCTGGGTGAAGGTTCAGCCACATGACTGAGGGCTTCCCCTGGAATATTCCCTGAGCTGGGGAGCGGGCTGGGGCTACGTGCTGAGGCCCTCTGACCTGGGGCTCCTTCCTCCGCCCAGAGAGGCCTGAGGAAGCGGGGCAGAGGACAACGGGAGGTGACTCAAGGAGGGCGCAGCGAGTATGAAGGGGAGGGAAGGGAAGTTTCTTCGCACCATCTCTAAAAGGAATCCACACCTGCACTGCCCCGACCAAGGGCGGCGTGCACTGACGCTCCTGCCCCAGGACCGGGGGACACCACAAAGCAAGGACAGCAGAAGCCTGCCTGGCCTACCAGCAGTCCTAGACAGGACGATGCGCCCCATCCCCAACTCACCAGAGGCAAAGGACGGCGGCAGGACCTGAGTTCCGAGCAGCCAGCCGAACCGAAACAGCAGGAGCAGAACAGATGGCGAGATGCCATGAACACCCCATTTACAAAGGAAGCCTTGGGAAATGCGAGAAGGCTATTCTCCATTTTGTGGGGAGACAGGAGTTTTTCATCTCACCAGATACTGAGAAGCTGCGAGTGCCCCATGGGAAAATCCTGCCACACCTTGCCTGCATTCGCCCTCTGTCTGAGTGAGCGACACCGTGCCTGGAGGCCAGACCAAGCTCCCACCTAGTCAGTGGAGAAGCCACTGAGGAAAAGCAACACCAGAGAATCCCACCTGGGTCTGCACTCACTCCCGCCCGGCCCCCCACAGCTCCCACGGCTTCAGAGGACACAGGTGCCTCCTCTGGGGGCGCAGCAGTGTCACCAGTTACCTGCGGGACACAAGTGAACAGGCCAGCCTTCTGGGGTTTTTTTCAATAGGGTCTGTGGGGCTCTGAAGGAAGAAAACAGTGATGCTGGAGGACTGTCCCCTCACTGACCACGAATCTACCACAGACAGCACGGGAGCCCTGTCCCCTGTGGTGCACAAGGGCATGAATTAAGTGCCCCTCACCGTGCACACAGAGTCATGGTCTAAAGGCCCACAAGCTCTTCGGGAACTGTAAGATTCGTGGTACAAACTCTGTGGCTTGGATCCCACCCAAATCTGTACAAAACGACAAAAAAGGAAAGAAGTTTTTAAAAGAAGCAGAGCTCTCCGGATTGCAGTGTTTTCAGAAACTACTCTTTAAGAAAAACCCGCCCTCCCCCCGTCACACACATTTAAACGTAAGAAGAGAACTGGTGAGAAAAGAGGAACAGTCATAACGCTTCCTGAGAAGAGCCCGAGAAACTACACGAAGGGACCAGACTTCCTGCAGCCCTGGCAGCAGGCAGCCCTTCCTGACTAACGCAAGACCCAAACCCAAGTAAGGGAAATGAGTGTGAATTCCCGTAGGTTACAGGAGACCAACGGCCCGCTGAACTCCCACAAGAAGTCCGGCACGAGAGGCCACATGCTGACCAGATGACTCTCCTCCTGGCTGATCCAAAAGGAGGTCAATTACAGTGAGGGGCCAGAAATCTAATATATATTTATAACCCTCAACACACCTCGGCAGCCAAACGCACCAGGCATAGCAAAGTGCCTGCCGAGAACCACTCACACGTTCTACTCATCCAAAGGCTTCCCAGCAGCCTTGCAAATGACTCGTTTACATTCGTCAGATCACATGTTTACCAGGGGATTATCTGTCAGAACACTTTAATCCCAGGCTAGTTTCTATCTGTCCACAAGCACACAACTAATGGACCCAGCCCACTTCCTCCCCAGCAGCAATGGTGACATTAACATTAGCTCATGTTAGAGGGGAGGGTATAGCTCAGTGGTAGAGTGCGTGCTTAACATGCACACAGTCCTGGGTTCAATCCCCAGTACCTCCATTAAAGTAAATAAATAAACCTAGTTACTTGCCCCCCTCCAAAAAGCCTATGAACATTAACTCATGTTAATGCTAATTCAATAAAACTGTAATTAAAAGGCAGTCAGTTGCAAATCTGATTTTAATTCTCTGCAATATCAAATTTGAATTGTCTGGGAGCAATCATACTTTGATTCTAAATATCCCCCCTCCCACCCATTCTACTGTTAACAACTAACCCATATTTATACAATGGAATACTACTCTGCCATAAAAAAGAATAAAATGCAATTTGCAGCAACACGGATGGAGCTAGAGATCGTCATTCTAAGTGAAGTAAGCCAGAAAGACAAAGAAAAATACCATATGATATCACTCATATGTGGAATCTAAAAAAAAGAAAGGACACTATGAACTCACCTATAAAACAGAAACAGACTCTCAGACTTAGTAAACAATCTTATGGTTACTGGGGAAAGGGAGCAGGAGGGGATAAATTTGGGAGTTTGATAGTTACAAATGTTAGCCATTATATGTAAAAATAGATTTTTTTAAAAGTTTCTTTTGTACAGCACAGGGAACTATACTCAATATCTTATAATAACCTCTAATAAAAAATGGTATTGAATATATGTATGCATATGCAAGACTGGGACATTGTGCTGTACACCAGAAATTGATACATTGTAATTGACTGCACTTCAACTTAAAAAAAAAAAACCAACTAACCAAGAGGTGGCTCTACTGAACTCTAATGAGTTCGGGGGACTGGGTCCTAGCATCAGAAAGTTCAAAGAAGAAGTAATTTCTGGAAATCGGGTGGTCCCTCAGAGTAGAAACTACTAAGAAATTGAACAAGAGTATGTTGATCTGGCATTAGAAAATCGAATTGAAAGAACAGTTGGCTGGTTGTTTCCCTCTCACAATTCAGGAAAGTCAGGACCCCTCCACCCGACCCCACCACACACCTAGAACAAAGCAAACAGAACTTGGGTTTCAAAAATAAAGACTCTTCTGCACACACAGCTCAAACTGAAAATAGTTTTTTAAAAAGACCATTTCCTTGTATGGCAGGCAAGCTTGATTAGGAACTAACGCCCTCTTGACACATTTCCCACTAGGGTTCATCTACTCCAAATAACAAGTCAATTCTGTGTAGTCTGATGACTCCAAAAAACTATCAGAAGTTTCTGTCTCCCTCTCCTGAGCACCAGGCTTGCCACAGTCCACTCAACAGTGAGCACCTCCATCGGACCCACCTGGACACTAACTGACATGCTCCAAACTCACCTCATCATCACCCCCTAAGCCCGTCCTCCTTCTCACTCCACTTCACTTTTAGCGAAGTGTGTCACCATCCATGTGATCACCAAGTCAGAAACATGACCTACCTCCTCAGCACTCCCCCAGACAAGCCACCACTAGAGCTGATTCTAATCCAACCCTCTCTTCTATTCCCACTGTCCCTGACTTCATATAAGCCCCACCACCTCAGGCCGAGACCACTATCAAAAGAACTTGCCCAAGGAATCTCAGAGCTTGCCCCCCGAGGTCCAGCCCAGCTCCCCTCTCTCCCTGCCATCTCTCCTCAGTACCCCAGTCAGCTCCTGGAAATGGTCTGAGGGCCTGCGGAACCTCCGAACTGCCTTCAGCTCAGGCTACACTACACCATCAACCTACATCACTCACTATCCTTCCCTGAAGACTGGCTCTGCCCTTTCTCACCTAGCTGCTCCTATACCCCTCCAAAGCACAGCTCCAAGACCACCACCGTCAGGAAGCTGTCTGTGACTTCCAGGTGTGCTTTGGGTGCTGCCACGATCTTTTCCACCTTACTTAATTACTGCTGTTTATGGGGCTGAGCACCCTGAAGGTGGGGCTATGTACTTCCTTGTTATCGAGCAGAGCACAGCACAGCAGTGCTCTCTATATGTGCATGCTAAATAAGTAAATGAATTCAGCTGTACATAATGATCATGAGTCAGGTGACTGCTTAAGAAAAAGCAGTATTTCTAGATTACTAATTAGAAGCTATTTCAAGTAGAATTCTCTGTCACTGTGGCTGTCTCTGTAACAAAAAGGGAAACCACTGCAGTAAAGAACCTTCCCTTCCCACCACTCCGCTTGCTCGCCACGAGGATTCTCCAGGCACTCCAACTGCTGAGTCAAACTGGCAAGCCAAAATCTAAAATAATTTAAGTTCATGACTACACAGAACTATTATCAATGAATCAATGATCAGAGTTACAAGAAACCACATCATGCGGGGAATGAGGAATTGGGAGGTGCAACCAACAATGGAGAAGAAACGAAAGTCAGCAGCCAAGAGAGGCGAGTGGCCATACAGACATGAGTAACCCCAAACACCGTGGCCACAAAGCAGCAGAAGGCACTCTGTTAAACAATGATTAATCGTGAATGAGGCAAAGAAAGGGTCAGAAACCTACAGTGCTGTCTCTCTCTCTCCCTCTCTCTCCAGCCACAACTGCTACATCCATTCGTACCATTTACAAAAAAGACTTTGGAAAGTCAGTTTAGACTATCCCCACCTCTTCCACAAAATACACGCACAAGAAACTCCTTTTCAAAAAGAATTTGTGGTGATTGGCCCAACATCAATTAGTAATCAATTCCAGTGTTAAACAATGATTAATCATGAAGTGTTTCTATAGTTTAAATACACGCAAGGAAATGACAAAACTGCCGAAACAGCTCGTCCTTGAGAATGTTTTTTGAAACTTTAAACCAAATTTCTCAGTGGGTTGATACCAGGATGCAAAGTCATCTGACTTCACTACCCACCAGAATGAACAGGTCTTTATTAAGCACCAATTACAGAAAAGGGGGGTCAGCCCTGCTACACTCCCCTCCCACTGGGCTCACTGTTGTGAAACATAAAGCCGTTTTGATCAGTGAAGCTTCCAGGAGCTCCGTCCTGTGCTGATTCTATCACCTAAAAGTTCCCCTAAATCAAACTTGAATTTTTGCTGAAAATCTTCCAACGTAACCCAATATGAAGCAAGTTCCTTCCCATACCTAGAATCAGCACACATGACTGGACCACAGATCTCTGCACCAAAGGCCAGGAGGTCAAATCTCACCCAAGTGGCAGATAAAAATCTAAGACAGGCACAAACTCTACAGAAGGATGCAATTCTAAGTTTTGTTTATTTTTTTTTAAACATCAAGTGTAAGGCTCGAGTCTCTCTAATTAAGAAAACTATTTGCACACAAGAATTTTCTCTTTTTTTAACATTAGCAACAGCAGCAGGCCTCTTAGGTCAGCGTGTTCTCGGTAAATGTTTACTTTGAAAGACCACTGCCTGAACGAATTGTTTCAAGGCCTACTTCACTATTTCCATAACTCACTTCAGTACTTTTCCAGAACACAGGCCCTTTGGAAAGCGTAAAGGGGTTTCGAGTGGTTCCTCTTCCCTTGCCCGAGTGTTACTGACTCAGGATTGCTTCACAGCTCTCTGGCAGGATGTGAGAAACGCTGCATGCACAGAATCCCAGCAGGGCTGATTCACTCCCGCCAAGTCACCTCGCGCAGCCAGAATTACTTAAGCAAAAGACCCCTCGGACCCAAACAGTATCTCTTGCGAAGATTCTCCAAACACAGCCTGCGGCTCAAACCAACGCACAATCAGACCCCCGGCCCCGAGTGCACACACAGCCCCTCCGCTCCAGCGTCAGAGGACAGAGGCCGGGCTCGCCTCCCGCAGCCCAGGGCCTGCTCGGCGGACCTCGGGGGCGGCCGCCCCCTCCCCGGGCAGGCCCGCGCGGGGACGCCGAGGGCTCGCTGCGACGCTGGGGGGTCGGGGCCGGGCGCGCCCGCAGCCCTCTCACCTCCTGCGCCGGCGGTCCCGGTTCCTGCCGAGGCGGTCGGGCAGGCGCCCCAGGAGCGCGGCCAGCCCGGGGCGGCCAGGCAGGAGGCCCAGCAGCCGCCTCCAGAACCCCGGCCCCGCCGCTGCAGCCGCCGCCATGGAGACTTGCTGTTTCTCTTCCGGCGCGAGAGA